GGTTGAAATTCTACTTATGAACAATTTATTTATGTTCATGGATATGAACAATGCAGGGGCCTTTCAGCAGGTGAGATCATTTTGTTTATGATCGCTTGGTCTGTCATACTGCTGTCTTCTAAAACTTGTCTAATATATATACATGCAGCTATCCTGCATGGTCTCACTTTAGAAAAAAGCTCGAAGTTCAAACATTACTGCAGAAATACTAACAAATAGCATGCCCTACTATTTTTTATAATATAACCTTTAAATCATGAAAATGCTTGCCATGTATTAGGATAGCAACAATAAGTATGTATGTCTTCAGATATAGTTTTCTTTCTCCAAACAAGTACCGAACATTTTGAGTAGGAATCCATACCTCAAAATAGAGTGCCTTGTTGGTCAAGGTTAAGTGTCCGGGCCATGCAGTATTCTGCTCCCATTTTAGAACAGGCCTCTTTCTACTAGAGCCTATGCACAGAACTTGCTCATCAGACAGAAAATTATCTCCAATCTTATGTGTTTGCCTCCCATGATGAACCCTTGTACAATGCACATTGTAACACATATTAATTAACACAGAGCATCCAAATATTTAATGCATACTCAGCATGACCATATGACAGAGATATGAAATCGTGAACTATATTAGCAGTTCAAATTGGCGAACAAAAGCTCATGATATGGGCCCATGTCTTACAAAATTTAAGCAAGACTGATATTTCTAGAATACTAGTCATCAACGCCTACCAATCATGCGGTTGAACAAATATCTGTAGTATAGATCAAATGAAAGAGGTATAGCACACTAGAAGCCTAAAGTAACGTTAAAAATACACTTCCTGCAACTTGAGACTTAAGCAGAGATATATACTCAGTTCAAATCTGCTACATGTTTGTTGTCCACAGAGGCAGTCTTACTTCAAAAGTTCACCAAGGTATGTTGTCCAAAGATCCAATGACAGTCCCTTTTCAGCGCCAACAAGGGCCCTAAAGAGATGATGAGCTGTTGAAGCATCAGCAACACCTGCCACAGCAGGAGCAATTCGGACAAAGGCATCTTCTTCAACAAGTCTTCCCTACCATATCAAAAATATCAAACTCAGAAAACTTGCCACGGTGGTGCATGAAATAAAATCGTATCCGGTTAAAAAATAGGGGTCCCGTTCACAACGAAACAATTTTGAGAATACAGTAGAATCAAAACTCACCAGTATAGAGTAGTTATCTAATGAAGAGTGTGGATCATTGTCTTCATCGTATGGATCATTCCATGCAAGCATAGTCACAAAGATAAGCCTTTGAAATGCAAGCTCCTGCAGACATTTAAAGTAGAAGTATTAGCCAAAGTAGAACTAGCTAAACAAAACAAATGCAGCAAGCCTGCAGTAATGTTTTGTGCTCCTGCCAAACAAGTGGAGCATTATTTTACACTTCAATACACATTGATGCTGAATTAGCAACTAATTTACCCTCAGACTTGGATGAAAATCCGAGTTATCTCTTGACAAGTACCGGAAGCAGCAATATTCAACTAGACTTCGAGCATCATTGTGGACATGTTCATGAGCAAGCGCTTTGAAGATCCTCTGCACCTGCCTCCCAGTCAACCCATTCAACCTAACAAAAAGCCTCATGAGAAGCGTGAATGTAAACTGAGATAGCAAATTACCAGGACATCCAGGAACTCCTGTAAACTCCTCACTTTTGTCGTACACTATTTAAAATGGCTCAACTGAACTTTCAAACTATTTATGTCCATTTCTCATTAGCTAATCAGTATCCTACATGAAACACGAGACCACTATCCAGAAACAACACCTGAACCCAAGTTTTATCTCTAAATTGCATCTCTATGATGGAAGTTGCGCTAGCATAAAAGCCAAGGAGAAGATAATCCATGCTCCCAGTACAGGTTCAATAAGAAAATATTGCAGGTGTCTATCGCAATCTACCAACTGATTCTAGCCCAGCATAACACTAGAGAGTACCTACCGAGTTAGACCACACCGATTTCAAGGGATCCAGTAACTTTCAAACTGCTAGAAACTTTTAAGGATACTAAAGACCTAACAGGCATAGCCCACCTGTCCAGGTATAACGATGAATGTCCCCGACTCCCTGTTATGAAGTTGCACTGGTCCCTGTTCACAGTTGTGTGGCTGCCATGTGGGCTATGCTTGTCAGTTCAGTTGTGTGACACTAGAATATTGCTTCGAAGCTACACCAAGCGAACAGCCCCACATGTTGGTTAGGTGGATAGTGTTAGGAAATATGCAACTTGTATTCCCATGAGGCCATAGGCAGATATATATACATGTACAGGTGTGGAACATATGCAGGAAACCCCTTATACAACGGGATAAACACAAAGGGGTACATGACTTATATTATAACTCTAACACCCCCCCTCAAACTCATGGTGGATGAACAACACTGAGTTTGGAGAGATAAAAGCCATGTTGTGCTCTAGTCTGGGCCTTCGTCAGGAAATCCGCCAACTGTAAGTCGGAAGGCACATACTGAAGAGCAATAACCTGATCCTGCACACCAGCGCGCACATAGAAAGCATCAACACCAATATGCTTGGTGAGCTCATGCTTCACAGGATCGCGCGCAATGCTAATAGCACCTGTACTGTCAGATAGGAGCAGAGTCGGTGTAGTGACAGAAACACCAAAATCCTAAAGTAACCACCGTAACAAAGTCACCTCTGCCGTCAAAAAAGCCATGGCTCGCAACTCAGCCTCAGCACTCGAACGGGAAACTGCAATCTGTTTCTTCGTCTTCCAGGCAATGAGAGAACCGCCAAGAAAAACACAGTAAGCAGAAAGTGAACGGCGACCGGAAGGATCACTAGCCCACGTAGCATCCGAATAGGCCTGAAGCTGTAAAGAACTGGAGCTAGGAAAGAATAGACGGTGGGAGATTGTGCCCCGAAGATATCGGAGAACACGAAGGAGATGACTATAGTGAACCGATGTGGGAGCAGAGACAAACTGACTCAGAATATGAACCGGATAAGAGATGTCCGGACGAGTGACAGCTAGATAGACAAGACTGCCAACGAGATGACGATAACGCGTCGGGTCAGGGAGAGGATCACCATCAGTAGCACGGAGGTGAACATTGAGCTCCATAGGAGTCTCAACAGTGCGCTCGTCAGTAAGAGCAGCACGAGCAAGAAGATCCTGGATATACTTTTCCTGGGATATAAAAAAGCCATCAGAGGTAGAAGAGACTTCAATCCCAAGAAAGTAGCGAAGAGGTCCAAGATCAGACATAAGAAACTGCTCACTAAGACGTGCCTTTACAAAGGCAATATACTCGGGGTCATCCCCCGTGATGATCATGTCATCAACATAGAGAAGAAGAGTCCGACCACGAGGAGAAAGGTGAATAAACAATGCTGGATCATGAGCACTGGCTGAAAAACCAGCAGTAGTGACCACAGAGGCAAAACGCTCAAACCAGGCGCGGGGGCCTTGCTTAAGGCCATAGAGAGAGCGACAAAGACGACATACCATGCCATCAGGAACAGAATACCCAGGTGGTGGCTGCATGTACACCTCCTCACGCAGCTCACCATTAAGAAAAGCATTCTTAACATCAAGCTGAGATATAGACCAGTGGCGTGCAGAGGCAACGGCAAGAAGTGTACGAACAGTGGTCATATGGGCCACAGGAGCAAAAGTCTCGTCATAATCACGACCATGCTCCTGCTGAAAACCACGAGCCACAAGACGAGCTTTGTGGCGCTCAAGAGAACCATCGGAGCGAGTCTTAACCTTGTAGACCCACTTACAAGTGATGGGACGGACTCCGGGAGGAAGAGAAACAAGATCCCAGGTACCAGTGCGTTCAAGAGCAACAATCTCCTCTGCCATCGCAAACTGCCATTCAGGATGAACAACAGCCTGACGATAAGAAGTCGGCTCAAGAACAGCAGCACCAGCGGTGGGAAATCCAAAACGATCAACAGGCGGACGAGGACGAGAACGCAAGCCATAAGTAGGCCGAGAGGAAGATGACGACTCATCCAATAAGGCATCCACAGGTCGTGAACGACGAGTGTAATGCTGAGGAAAAGATGGAACAATAGAAGGAGGAATAGCCAAGGTAGAATCGAGGGGTGGCGACGAAGAAGTCACCGGAGATGAAGGTGTATAATCCGGTGACATGCTAGGCGAGGAGACCGGAGAAGATGGTGGTTGCAAATCGACTAGAGGTGGAGAAGCAGAGGGAGTGGAACGAATAGGCACAGGCGCGACGGGGGTGATAGGTGAGTCAGGAAAAGTGAGGAAAGAGATATCCTCCACTGAAAAAATCAAGGAAGATGGGCGTGGGTAGAAGGGACGAGACTCATCAAAAGTCACATCTCGAGAGATACGCATCCGACGACCGATAGGATCCCAACAACGATAGCCCTTATGCTCATCACTGTAGCCTAAGAAGACACACTCAACAGACTGAGCGGTCAGTTTGGTGCGTTCGCGAGGGGCAAGAAGAACATAACAAACACAACCAAACAAGCAAAGCATCGAATAATCGGGAGAACGATCAAAAAGACGCTCGAAAGGAACACCACCCTGTAGAGCAGCGGAAGGCTGTATATTGATAAGATAGGTGGAGGTGGAGACGGCCTCAGCCCAAAAATGAGGCGGGAGAGAGGCAGCAATCATCAATGCACGAGCCGTCTCAAGAAGATGTCGATGCTTTCACTCAGCCACACCATTCTGAGCATGAGCACCAGGACAAGAGAATTGAGAGAGAGTTCCTTGCTCAGCAAGAACACCACGCAACATCTTAGAGATATACTCGCCAGCAGCACGAAAAACACAAATGGGTGAAGAGAACTGAGTATGAACCATGGCAGCAAAACGCTTATAAATAGACAACACCTCACTACGAGAAGTCATGAAATAAAGCCATGTGTAACGAGAGAAATCATCTATGAAAATAATATAGTATTTATGACCACCTTTCGAAGCGAAAGGAGCCGGACCCCATACATCAGAATGGACTAAATCGAAAGGACGCTTAGACACTGACTCACTATGTGAATATGGTAACTGAATCTGCTTGCCAAGACGACAACCTTGACACTCTAAAGAGACATCTCCTGAGACAGACCCCAGAAGACCTCGACGAACTAAAGACGACAACCGAGAACCACACAGATGACCAAGTCGATGATGCCACTGCTTGAAGGAACTAGTAACGGAGGCGACTAAAGCGGAGGAACTGGCGATGGTTGTGGCAGCGAAAGGAACATGAAGCCAGTCCAACTCCCAAAGACCCTGAGAATCACGGCGGCGAGGGCCAGCCCCAACCAGAGTGTGCGTGCGACGGTCCTGGACAGAACAAGAGTCAACGTCAAGGATGACGCGACAACCAGAATCGGTAAGTTGACCAGCAGAAAACAGATTCATGGTAAGTCGAGGAACATGAGCAACATCATGAACAGAATAAGGAGTGGTAAGATTGCCCCTACTAGCAACAGAAAGTGGAGTACCATCAGCAGTGAAGACATGAACAGGAGAATCCAGCAATTGAAGAGAGGACAAAGTGGAAGAATGAGAAGACATATGAAAAGAAGCTCCAGAGTCCAGAACCCATGGGGATGTACCTGACTGTGTAGAGGGCGGTTGCTCAGTGCGGGAAGCATCAGTCACAGAACCAGCAGTACCCGTCGAGGAAGAACCTGAAGCCGCGAGCAGACGCTTAAGTCTCAGAATATCCTGCTCAGTCAAAGCAATGGCTGAAGCTGTCGAGGTAGATGACGAAGCCCCTGAAGAGGATGATCGCGCCTTGCGCAGGTGTTTCCTCTTCGTGTAGCACTGGGACTCAATATGACCATCATTGTTGCAGTAATCGCAATGTGGACGGGGGCGACCTGAGCCTCCAGAAGGAGTGGGCAAGAGCGGCGGAGCACTCGAGCGAGAAGGGGTCGGTGCAGCAGGTGGCGTGGAAGAAGACCGAGTAGCGAGCACAGAGGGAACCTCGAGCAAACCAGCACCACGTAAGCGAGTCTCCTCAGCATGAATCTCAGAAAGCGCCTCCATGAGAGAAATACGGCCACGAGCAAACAACTGAGCACGCCGGGGCTCAAACTCCTTACGGAGCCGAGACAGGAACTCGTAGACGCGATGAAACTCCAAATTGGCCTGGACAGCCTGGCAACAGGGGCAAGTACGACAACCAGCATTGTGGAGAGAATCAAGCTGGCGCCAGATAGCAGAACTCTGTGCATAGAAGTCATCAACAGTAGAGTCACCCTGCTGAAGAGCATGCTCCTGACGGACCACAGAAAGGTATAAGGCATCACCAGAGGGCTGATAGCGTTGACGAAGACGGGTCCACATCTCAAAGACAGTAGGAAGACCCAGAAACTCAGAAGCAAACTGAGGCAGAACACTAGCAATGAGAACAGCTGCAGCACGAGCATCATCATCAAGCCACTGGGTGTAAACAGACAAAGCACCATGATACGTCTGAAGAGCCTCCTCATAAGCCAAAACCCTCTCATCATAAGTACGAGCAGCAGCCTCATCAGCAAGCTTAGCCGCATCCTTGGCGGCCTGATTAGCATCCGTAGGAAGAACCGGTGGAGTCGGCGGAGTAGGGGCCACCGGAGGAACTGGACGTGGCGGACAGCAGACCTCGCCAGAAAGAACACCCCAGAGACGGATGCCACGCATGTGAATGCGCATGAAGCCAGTGAACTCGGTGTAGTTAGTACCATCAAAGATCACCGGACAGCGAGGGACAGCAACATAGCCCGATGCAGCAGACATTTTTTTTCAACAGGAGGCAACCAGCGGAGGGTCCGGACTAGAACCGCAGCAGCAGTCCGGGGCGAGAGGTCGAGGCCCGATCTGGAGGGTGAGCGGCTCGTGCGGGCAGAACCCCGATCGTGAACTGGAAACGAGCAGTAGCAGCAGCCTGGATCGTGAACAAGCAGCAGCAGCAGGGACGCTCGTGCGGCTCTCCTTGGTGGTGAATTGGAAACGAGCAGCAGCAGCAGCCTGAATCGTGAACAAGCAGCAGCAGGGACGCTCGGATGGGATTGACCAGCGAACGAGCCAGCCGGATCGAGCAGAGGCCTGGCGGACGAACTCGAGGGCAGAGGCAGCCGGCCTGGGCGCTCGATGAGGAGGGGGGCAGGGGCACGAGAGAGAGCAGCGCCGGAGCAGGGTGAGCCTGCGGTTGGTGAAGACGCCGGACAGCAGCGCCGCTCGGAGAAGGACGACCGCTCGGAGAAGAGATTGGATCGAGAGCACGAGTTGCGCGTGCGTAAAAAAAACCTAAGGCTCTAATACCATGTTAGGAAATATGCAACTTGTATTCCCATGAGGCCATAGGCATATATATACATGTACAGGTGTGGAACATATGCAGGAAACCCCTTATACAACGGGATAAACACAAAGGGGTACATGACTTATATTATAACTCTAACAGATAGGTCCCCTTCCATGTGTCAGGATCCTAGCGTTCACAGAAACACTCCATGCAGGCGAACGCAAAATAGCATTTTACATCTGTAAGGAAGTAGGAGTCTAGTTGGCAAATAATTAGCACAGTATGAATTAGCATGTCAACACAGGAAACATTGTAAAGTATTACCAAAAGGTAAAAGAAACTCATAGCCAGAGATACACGTGCATGCGGCCATCAGAATTTGGTAATCATTTGCCCCCCCCCCCCACTCCTCCAAAAAAAACCACCACAATGAGGACAAAACGGTCTCATGGACTTCATTGCTACTCTCTCCGGATTCCAGCTCTAGCGTTTACACCCATACATTCTCTTCTTTGTCACGTTTTCTCATCTGAAACAAGAAGGAAAGTGCAACACCTAGAACCAATTAACTTTTCACACCAATGTTTTACTTCTTTTTTATGCTCTAGTGACTTGGTGAGCTCACACCCACCTTCTCCACTAGTAAATGAAATATAAGACAACACCTTTCTCATCCATCCAAAACATTCCTCCTCCTCCCTCTCCAAGCACGTTTACGATGCCCAAGCGCGGAAAGAGATACGGTACAGGCGATGAACCCATGGTAGGTGATGGAGGTGGTGGTGACTGCAATGACACGAACAAGAAGGGGTCCATCGCCAACAAACTGACGCTGCAATCCATGATCTATATCTCATGAATGGTGACGAGGATGAGGCTGAGTCTCAACTAACTTAAGTGGATGGGAGCAGGTGTAGTGGGTCGTCCAAGCAGACTGTTCGCCAGTGTGCTGGAGCTGGGGGCATTGACATCTCACCTCATCAACAACAGAAGCTGTGGCCAAAGGACCGGTCAGGCATGTGGTGGAAGCAGTGCAGCAGCCCTGGCTACCCAGAGGCCAAATTCTGCAGCCATTTCCGGATGGAATGGGACACTTTTGACATGATATGTGATGCACTGGGCTCCGCCATCGTCAAGGAGGATACCTCGCTCCGCCCCTCCATCCCTGTGCGCCAACGTGTTGTCGTCTGCATCTGGCGCCTCGCCACCGGTGAGCCCCTCTGCATCATCTCTCGCCGCTTTGGTATTGGCCTTTCTACATGCCACAAGATCGTCCTTGAGGTCTGCACCGCCATCCGCCAAAGGCTCATGCCCCGCCTTCTTCGGTGGCCTGACCAGGCCGCCATCTTCAAGGGCAGCTTTAAGGCCATCTCCAGCATGTCAGACGTCCTTGGTGTCATCTATACAACCCACATCCCAATCATCGAACCGCAATTGTGGGCCAGCAAGTACTACAACCCTTGGGCCAGCAAGTACTACAACCCTAGTCACGCAAAGCGCAACAAGAAGCCCTCCTACTCCACCACCCTCCAGGGGGTCGTCGACCATAATGGCATTTTCAGTGATGTATGCATCGGTTGGCCTGGAAGCATGAATGATGATGAGGTCCTCAGCAATTCACTTCTGCAGCAGCATGGCTGCAATGGTATGATGATTGGCTCATGGGTGGTCGGCGGCTCTAGCTACCCACTGATGGACTGGCTTCTCGTCCCATACACACACCAAAACCTGACAAGGGAACAACGCGCGTTCAACAAGAAGGTCGCGAAGCTACGGCACGTGTCCATAGATGCCTTTGCATGACTGAAGGAACGATGGGCGTGCCTGCAAAAGCACGCACATATGAAGATCTCGGATCTCCCGATCGGCGCATGTTGTGTGCTGCACAATATATGTGAGGTGAAAGGGGAAGAGATGGGCCCAGAGCTACCGAGTGACATCATTGACGACGAGACAGTGCCAAAGAACCTTGTGCATTCTGAGAGCGCCAGCAAGGCCAGAGACAAGATCGCTCACAACCTCTTCCATAGTGGGCTGGGCGACACCAAGTCTTGATCCACATTCTTAATTTGTCATCATAGTCATCACTGACCATTAGTTTGATCAATTTACCGATCCTTCCTTTCTTATATAATTTGGTTGATTTGCATTGGAATCAATCCATTAAGGATCCCCAATTTATTGTTACTTAGTCACAGACCTGGGAGAGGAATTTGATGGGGTGGCTGAGATTCCCAAGACATCATATGCAAAATTAAACAAGGGAAGCAAACGTCTTCCAGTTATTCTCTCTACTGGTTTGGTTAGTTACTTAGTTTACATCGATTTGGTCAGAGAAATTTCTGCTTCCTATGCTATGTGTGTTTCATCCCATTGTACTCCAGAAAATTCGCGTTCCTTATTTGCTGCAGCAATGCAAGACCAAACTTGGTTAAAGGGTTTCTATTTTGTAATATTGAATTTATCCACTGAAAGCCTGCTTGGAACACAGCAACTTCATGGGAATTAGAAGACAAAAAAAACCCAAGTCCCAGAGAAGGCTTAATATTCTTGCAACATCTACACAACAATTCCAGATGGTTCTACCCACTACCTAAGATGATCCTATCTATTATAGCACATGGTTCAGAGTAATCCTGATATCGATATCACCAAGCGAGCGTCCTGTCAACTGAGTCCAAGAGAAACGCAGTTTGTGGCTTTAATCGTTTATTAACATTATGATAGTCAAGAGACGAACTGGTAGTCATTTTCTTAACTGAATGAATCTGGACATTTATTCTACATCTACGACAGATTAACAAGAAGGGCAGAGCAAGTGCAAGGTCGCTTGACACACCTAGCAAACTGCTCGATGGCGACAATGGCGTCCACGGAGAGCCAGCCGCGGCCGACCCGCCGCTCCAGGGTGATCTCCGGCACCGCGACGAGCGGCTCCTCCTCCGCCTCCTCCTTCCGCTGCTTCTTCCTCCCATCGGCCTCCTCCTTGCGCTTCCCCCGCTCCCGCGCCGCCTGCGTGACGTCCACCACCGCGCCCCGCGCCCGGGAGAGCCACGAACGCACCCGCTCCTGCACCGCATCTGCGAAACAGCAAGCCCGCAGCGATCAGAGGGAGCACGGGGCACGACCTATCGGGGGCCTCGGGGAGGGCGCTCACCGGTGTCGACGTCGGGGAGCTTCCACTGGGAGCGGACGGCGAGGGCAGGCGGGGGCGCGCGGCGGCGGCGGCGGCCGGGGAGGCGGGAGCGAGGGAGCGGCAGGAAGCGAGGGGGCTGGAGCTGGAGCTGGAGCATGGCGGCGGTGGTGGTGGGGTCAGTGGGCTAGTGGCGGGGAGCGGGGCGTCGTGGACCCTCCGTGGATTCCATTGGAGAGGGCCGTGTCTGGGTTGTTTACGTTTTCTCTTCGATGCAGGCGGCACCAGTTGGGGGGGAGTAGTGGAGCGGAGCGGAGCGCGACGAAGACGACGCTTCTAGCAGGAGAGAGACCGGGAAGAAATGGCCGGCCGTGTGGTGCGTGGGCCCCACCCACGAGGTGGGAACTGGGCAGACGGCCGGCCGCCTGCTGGGTGGGGTTTGGTTCCGGCGACAATGGCCCTGTTTGAATACTCTATCTCGGTTAGATCGGTTACAGAGGTTAGAGTTAACCCTGAACTAACTTTAACCAAAGTGGTTTTTGGATCCCTTTAAAAAAAATGATGTTTGGATGGCTGGGTTAGATGGAGCACGGATACGGCGAGGCGCCTTCATGGAAGGTGCGAGAGGAAGGGAGGAAGAGGACGAGAAGATTTGAGGAAGTGAAGAGGGATCTGCTACGGGAAGAGCGAGAGAAAAATGTGTTTTTTAGTCGTCCCGAGAAGAACTAACCCAAATAAACACCTCTTGAGTGGGTTAGTTTTTTTTGGGTGGGTTAGATGCATCTAACCCAAACTAACCCTCCTGTTTGGATACTTTTGGGTTAGTTAAGTCCAAACTAACCCAAACTAACTCTAACCCATGGATCCAAACAGGGCCAATGGGTTATCCGCAACGCTGACTCAGACTAGTCATAGTGAGAGTAACTTAGCTAGTAACATAACACATCCCGAGACAAGTTTACTTATGTGGCACCTAGTTAATGAGGAGAGAGGTGTTTGGAGTAACATATTATGTTATCATCACATAGCGCTTCCCAAGAAATGTTGAGGCTATAAGCTAATAAATACAATCATATATGATACTACTTCTATGACACTTTGCACTATGTAAGTAGTAACATAGACTAGTGTCATATGTATGACACTAGTCTAAGTTACTCCCCACTATGACCAGCCTCAGTGAGAGCAACCCTAGCACACCCCACAAAACACGCAAACCCGTAAAATTCCGACGAGTATACAGGCTCGGCTTATTTTTCCAGAACAGAGTCCGTATACTCGCCCGGCCCGTAAAATTTTTTGCCGCGCCCGCAAACCGCACGCCCCGACCGCTATAACTGCGGTTCCGCGACTCGTTTGCGGGTCAAAACCCTATCCCTCGCCGCCGCCGAGCCACGCGATTCCCCTTCCCCCTCTCCACATTTCTCGCCGCCGGCGACCACCCGCCCCGCCTCCAGCCGTCATGTGGGGCCGAATGTGAAGCTCTGGACGCGGCTCCGGCAGCAGATTCGGCGGCGGAAGGGACCCGGAGCGCGAGCGGCGCGTCCAGTCCGGCGGCGCGAGGAAGCGCGGGGCCCGAAAGTGGACCAATCGCGGCATGTCGCCGCCGGCGAGCTTCCAGCGGACCGAGACGGCGGAGTACGACCGCTTGCACGCGTCCTTCTCCTCCGCGAGGTCCTCGTACGCCGGGAGCTCCTCCTCCTCTGGCGCGAGCCTTCTTCCCGTGAAGAGGGAGTGGTCGGAGGACGAGGAGGAGCCGGACGTGTTCGCCTTCGTCCCCATGAAGGAGGAGCCCAAGGAGCCCGCTCCGCTCGCCCGCCGCGAAGTCATCAGGACGGAAGACTACGTCGCGACGTCGACGCCATTGCGGCCACCATCGCCGAGCGGAGCATGCGCGAGGAGGTGGAGCGTCGGCGCCACACCGAGGAGCTCGAAGACCTCTAGTGGCGGCAGGCGGTCGCCGCCAAGGAGAAGGCCGAGGAGTGGCGCCGCATCTGCGCGGAGCAGGCGGTGAAGTACGTCGACCTATCCACATCCGGTGAGGAGGATTGAGCGTCCGACTCCTCCACGGCGTCGTCCATTTGCCGCGACCTCGTCACCGTCAAATTCGACCCCTCTAGTACTAGTTTAACGTAGTATGTAGTATAACTATGCTTGTAGTTTGTTAATCATGTGATGAACTATGTTTGTGCAATTTCTCCCATGAAATTGTTTTTTTTAATTATGCAGGTTTAGATACGATTTCTGTTCGGCCGCGCTAGTTTTCGACCCGCAAACGCGATCTTCGTGGAACCGCAAATGCGTTTTGCAGGTCAAATTTTTAGGTCTGCTAGAGTTGCTCTGACTCTGATGCTAGCGTGCCGCTCCAGCCGCTCGCAACTCCAAAGCTTGCCCCATTTCTTCCTGTTTGGATCCATACTGATAAAAAGCACAGCTCAACGCGTCGACCTAAAAAAACTGATGTTAGTATTGCTATTTGCTTGTACCTATTTTTCAGCCCAAATTAAGACTGAATTTGCGTCCTCGTGGACACGCAGTGGACACCCGGCGTCCTCTCATGGCCCGCCTATTGGTGGCACACAGGCCATTCTCCCCCGCCTGTTACAATCACCCCGGCCTCTTTGCTCTCATCGTCGCTGCCTAGCTTTTGACCTCTTCACCACCGCCCCAGTCCCCGCCGCGGCACCCACTGACTGCCTCACCGCCATCGCAACCACAGGCGTCCACTCTGTCGGGCATTGTGTTCGCTTCTTGCTGCCAATGGAGCAGTACAAGGCCCGCCTACCCAGGGTTGCCGGCAGCCCCAGGCATACTACCGCTACCTTCACCATCATCGCCAAAGGACGCGGGGTTCGACAACCCTGCTGCCTGAACATGGCAAGGACAAGACCCTTCACCAACCATGACTCGTCCATGCTCGCCTTTGTCCCCACCCACAAGGTGTTCGGTTGTTTGCCCGGACGAGTCGTCCGCTGCTGTCTACAGAGATACAAAGTCATCACTCCGAAGGATCATAGCAGATAGCTCGGATGAGTTTTTTTACAATAACATCATATGTTCATCATCTTCTGATGATGATGATGATGTTGTGGTTGCTACTTTCATCGTCAGTGGGCACATTTCGTGGTAGGGACCATTGTGTAGGGGATTGATCCCGAGCCATGCTTCTGGGTTGACTCGTAACAGAGAAAACAGTCATGTCCTACTCTACAACGATTACTTCGATCTCATAGAACCACTATTCTCTGCCAAGCTTTTCTGGCGATGCTTCCGAATGGCGAGATCATTGTTCAACCGTATTCATGAGGGAGTGATGAGGTATGATGATTACTTCAACTGCAAGTATAATGCCCTTGGAAAGGTTGGCTTCTCCTCTTACTAGAAATCTACTGCGGTCATTCAAATGCTTGCAAATGGAGTTCCTAATGATCTCGTTGATCAGTACGCACACATGAGTGAGTCCACATGCGTTGAGTCATTGTACATGTCTGCAAAGCTGCGGATAGAGTGTTTCTCCTAAGTACTTGAGAGACCAAATGTTGTAGATACAGCCGCTTGTTAGCGCTCAATGAATCGAGTGGCTTTCCCGGAATGCTTGGAGGCATAGATTGTATGCACTCAAAGTGGAAGGACTATCTATTTGCTTGGCAGAGCGGTATAAGGGACATATTAAATCTTGATGGTCATACTTGAAGTTGTTGCATCACAAGATCTCTGAATTTGGTGTTCTTTTTCGGCATGGCATGTTATCACAATGACATCAATTTGTTACATCTCCAAGCTTGGATGCTTACTACTAATTATTCCTCTCATGTCGTTGTCTCACCTTGATCTTAAAAGCTTCATTCGCACTTAACAAACCTCATGAGATAGGTTAGTATGCATAAAAATAAATCACCCAATAATGTATTGTCAAGACAAGTTGCATAATTATATTCAGATATAGCTACTGTAAACTATCATTTACACAGTTTATATCCCCCAATATATGCCATGAAAACTCTAGAACAAACAGATAACCAAAATAGGACAACAATCTGTCAAAACCAAAAGAGTCTATATTAATCTAATTAAGAGCATACTTCTAAAACTCATAAAATACTGGAAAAGGAAGTAACAGAGAATTTGTAATTAAGTACAGTGTAAAAAATTCACGAATTTACCATGTTCCATTACAGAATGAAATTCTAATATTGTTTTCTGCACAAAACCTAATAAAATTACAATTGCATCATCCTAAAGGCAAACCTTGGCGCTTTATTTTTATGGTACATTGGTTTATATAAGGGCGTAATTATTTTTATGAGAATCTTCCATGAAAATATTCACATTATTTCAATGAGCATGAACACAAGTGTTCAAGGTCGACCCTCACTTCTTCAATGCATGACTTTCCAATCACTTCTCTTTTTGAAAAAGTTTTAGATTCCCCTCTTTATTTTTGTTGTTTTGTTTTTTAAAAAGTTTAAAGGCACACAAAATAAGAAAAGGGATCTCTAGAACTTACGGTTGTCTCCCAGGCAGCGCTTTCTTTAAAGCCATTAAGTTAGGCATAAAGGTGTAGGTAAAATATTCACCCTATGCTATTGCTTCCCGGCAATGGCGCTAGAAAAGAGCTTGATAATTCCCAAGTACAAGGAATTGTCGTAGCGCTTTCCATTGATGCAGGTGGTAAGTATGGAGTGTCGAGGCCACAAGGAGCTAAAGGTAAGATCAACATTCTCTTAGGTCCCATCTGCTACTGATACAACCCTACATACACCGAGTGTTTGCTTTATCCAGAAACAAGAAATCAAACTAGAAGTGGGTATATAAGGATAGGTTTTGCAAGATAACAAAGAACGTCAACATAAAAATTAGGTGTTGCCTAAGTAAAGACACAATATAATACAAATAGCGTGTGTGGAATAGTGGTGGTATGTGATACGTCCATTTTGCATCATGTTTTTTCTATAATTATTTATTATGTTTTGGGTCATTATTTCACTTTATGATGATTTTCTAATGCCTTTTCTCTCTTATTTTTCAAGTTTCACATGAAGATGGAGATTGCTGACAATTGGAATTATGGACCTGAAAAAACTACGTCGGAGATAAAAATTCTCCACAGCTCCAAATGACCTAAAAAATTATGGAGAATTGTTTTGGAATATTTAAAAA